AAGGTTGGATGATATACTTGAACTTACGGAGAAGGGCCGTGAACAAGTAACTAAAATTAAGCAAAATGCGGCTTTAGACTTAACAGTATAGAGATGGGTTTTATTTTGTGATGGTAACAATAATTGTCAAAGATCCTGTGGTGGAATTAGAGAATGTAAACGAGAATGCCCAAATTTTTTTTTAAAAAATAATGTAAAGAATAAATTTGATACACACAAGTGTGCAGTTCGAATCATTACTAAAGTTATGCTATCTGATGTTGAAGAACCCTTGCCAGTACAATTATTTGTTGAAGGCACACATAGACCACTACACATTCCTGTGGCATCACAACCAAAAGTGGCGAGAATAAATCTTAGTCTCCAATCCCGTGACCATGCAATTGCAGCACATCGTGCACACCGCAGTACTGGAGCAGAAATTGCACTAAAATTATTAGCACCATATAATAATATGAGTGCAACTCATCTTAAATATATGCGTGAAACTGATAAAAGTATATGTACAGAACAACAGTTAAAACGATTAATTGAGAGAGATAATACCCGATTACGTGAAAATGCAGGCCCATGGACAATCTTAGATCAATTGGTTACTACTGAACTAAAAAATCAAGAAAAGGTACTTTACTATCAGCGGCATAATACCTCTGTTTCAGAAAACTGTCCTGAATATTACTACCAATTGACACTAAGCGATGAGTTGTGGCTTCATCAAGGTCAAGATTGTGGATTTTTTTGTTTTGGAATAGATGGGAAATATGATCTAAATAATGAAAAAGCCCCTGTACTCTCTATGGTTATTGAGGATGAAGCTGGATATGGATCACCATTAGCATTCGGTCTCAGTGACAAAGAAAATTATCATTATTAAACATAGTGAATTTAGTACGTAATTATAAAATTATATCGATAATAGATATAGCGGTATTCATAACGTATTTATTAATTGTGAAAGTATAGAAGCTCTATCTTTCACTTTCAACAAGTACTAGTCCGACTAGTGTTTAATATCCTAAATTCAGTACTTCTCTCTACTAATTTTCCATAGAATGTAGATTTATATGAAGAATCAGTAACCAAATCCTGTAACTTTAAATTAGAGCTTGTGACGCAATCTAGAGCTTTATTTTACGAACTCTGATTACTTGGGTTAAAATCTATTCAAACTTCAATTGTAGTCTTCCATTATTAGAAGTTATATTGTGATTAGTGTTAGATTAGTATGATCCTTATTTGATATATATCGATTCCAGACCAATTATTACCTTTAATGTACATATATCGAAATAGAATTTTACTAAATTTGAAATCTATTTTAAGTAGTTAATGAATACTGAATCAATCTAAAGTTAATTCTGACATATTTTTTTATAATTTTGGATGATCAGATTTTATAAAACACTAATTGGATTTTATTTGATTTGGCCCGCAAGCTAATTTAGAACTTAATTCTTATTTTCGATAAACTTATTTTCAGATTTATAATTTTGTAAAAACTTGTTTTAGCATTAGATCACAATTTTTACAAAATTAGAACCTATTATATAAATCTAAATAGGCAAGATATTTTTGCTCTCAAACAGCATCATTTTTAACTATTTTATAGTCACACTTATAGACTAGATGCTAGCATTTTTTGCACCCTTTGCACGAATTTTTCGATTACTAATCCACCTATACAGTTTTACTCCATTTTCTGTAGGATCGTTGTCCAAACATAACTTCTTTGTTACCGCCATGTTTGTAAATTCTTTGGGATTCCAGGAACATTCTTTTTCAAGAAATAGCTCTTCAAGTGACCTTTTAACGGCCAGTGTTGAATTATTTTCTTTTCCATCACCCGGTGCTTGTGGCTAAATAAGGCAAAAAGATTAAGATTGATAAGAGATATATTAATAATTAAATGATTATTAATAAACTTACAGCTTTAGTAGGAGTACGACATTTATTCTGAATCCTTGTAGTATTACGTCGGCATACGGAGTGAGGCATATTAACGGCAATTTCTAAAGTATTATCATGCACACTATTATTATAATTTTGTGCAGAATTGACCTGATCGCTAGTTGTTGAATTATCAATACTTTGTGAACTGGCTGATTCTTGAAAATTATTCAACTTATTGTTGAATAATCGGCTAGGCTTTCAACACTTTGATTTATAATTTTTTGGCGATCCAACTGTCGTGGGAATTTGCATATTGCTTATTGGACGGAATGGATCCTGTGCTGCTATTTTTTGATCAGCAGAAAAAAAGATATCATTTTCAACATAATTAAAGAGCCGCAGTATTTCTTGATAAGCTTCATCAATGGTTCCATTATAAATAATATGATTCTTTTTTTTTAAAGCAATTGCATGCTCCTTATCTTTAAAAAACTTTACTAGACTTTGTTTAACATCTTGTACTTGTAACCTTCCATGTAATAATTTTATGTATAACCTTGCGGCATGCACATGTTTATAGACATCACGGTAGGGTCCATTTCAAATATAATTGTAACACGTGTATTCTCCGGATATCATATTGACAAGATAATAATTAGCTGGTTTATTAATATTATCTCGGTTTACTAACTTATTAATCATTGCATCAATTTTTTCTGTTATTTCTACTGACATAGTAATAGAATAATGATTGTATAGTGACTGAAACTTCTTACACCGTTTTTCAACGAACATATAATTTTCATATCCAATTATTGGCATAACTAGACCAAGCAGAACATAAAGACGCCCCTGATTAATTCGACGTTTGATATCAATAGGTTTTTTTGGTGGAGATTGTTTATGTTCTATTGTGCGCATATTCTAATATGTTGCTAAACCCACATTAAATGAGGTTTCACCAAGTTCATTTTGAATTAATGAATCTCTAAAAATTTTAATACCGTACAAACGTTCAATAAAAGAAATGACTGTTTGTGTTCCACTATGTCGTGCTTCCACTGTTTTATGCATTCGCTCTGTAAGATTATTAGTTGTCATCGGCTTTGCATTAGCTGGATCATATATTTGTGGCGCACGTCTACCATCAATGAAACATTGTCTCCATTC